TACATATGTATGTTATATATATTATATATATGCATATATATATAATGTATATATATATATATATATTACATGTATATTATATATATATATATATATATTTACGTATGTACAGATACATACATAGTTTATATATACATACATATACACATTTATTTATTTATTTATTTATTTTACATATATATAAATATATATACATATATATTCCTCAGCAGCGCTGTTTATTATTTGTTTTGTTAATACGAAGCAGAGACAGCCGCTGCTGGCTGCCTTTCTGCTAATTGTGCGGTGTTAAGGGTTTAGGGTTTGTGGTTTAGGGTTTAGGTGTGTTTGTCGCCCGTTTCCTCAACGCGTGTTTAATTGTTTAATTAATTAATTTAATTTAATTATAAATGAATTAAATTAAATTAAATTAATTAAATAAATTAAATAAATTAAATAAATTTATAGTGGGAGCTTCTGGTCTCGGTCAGGAAACTCTTCAAAGTCTGCAGCATAATCTTTGCGACGTAGGCGGCCACCAGGAAGAGGGTTTTGAAGCTGCTGCATTTGCTGCTGCGGTGTCAGTGCAGCAATCCCTCTGCTGCTGCTGCTGCTGCTGCTGCTGCTGCTGCTGCTGCTGCTGCTGCTGCTGGAGGCAGCAAGACCCCCACCCTCCCACTCTACAAGAAGCTGCTGTGTCTCATCTTCATCTTCTCCTTCACCAAAGCAATCTGCCGGTACATATGCAAACTGTACACCTGGTGCATGCTCTAAGAAGCTTAGATTCTCAAGAATTCTATTCTTAATCTTTTCAAGATGGTCAGCGCTATTAAGATTAGGAAGCGGAGCAGGGGTTAAATGCAACTGAAAGTCAGGTGCATAATAATCATAGTAATCGTTCAACGGTATCTGAGGAGAAAGATCCTTATGCCTATCTAAGACAACAGCAGTTTCATAAGCCCAGCATCTTGATACATTTCTTATTGTATAACCACCACCCCCAAGAACAAGAAGAGGTATATTAAAAGATTTAACAAATTGAACGCATGCAGCATGCCCTCTAATAGTTAAATTAAACTTTCCTAATCTATCTCCTGTTAATGAGTCTGCACCACACTGAAGAACAATAGCCCCAGGTCTATACACCTCAATACATCGCGTAATAATAGGTTTAAACAATGCAACAAAACTATCATCATCCATACCATCATTAAGAGGCACATTTACAGCATAATATTTACCGTTTGACGCTCCTACATCTGTTATATCCCCTGTACCGGGAAAGAAGTCGCCGAACTTATGAAAAGAGACTGTCATAACTCTATGAGAAACATAGAAAGCTTCTTCAACCCCGTCTCCGTGGTGTACATCTATATCAATATACATTACTCTCGCATAATATTTTAATAACTCTAATATACCTAATACTATATCATTTATATAACAAAAACCCGATGCTTCTGAACGCTTTGCATGGTGCAGACCCCCACTCCAATTCACACAAATATCTGCTTGCTGATAATTCAGCTTCTTTGCTGCGTCGATTGAAGCGCCTGCGTACAAAACCCTAAACCCTAAACCCTAAACCCTAAACCACAAACCCTAAACCCTTAACACCGATACCCACACACCGCATACCACTAACTATAAACCCTAAAACACCCAAAACCCTAAACCCTAAACCCTAAACACTGAACCCTAAACCCTAAACCCTAAAAACCCAACCACAAACCCTATACCACAAACCCTAAACCCTCAACCACAAACTATACGACCTGCACTGACGACCCGAAATGTAACGAGATGGTGGATACTAAACCCTAAACCCTCAAAACCCTAAACCCTCGTATGAGGCTGACCTGCTCAGGTCTGCAGCTAACCCTAAACCCTAAGCCCTAAACCCTAAACCCTAAACGCTCGACGCTAAGTAGCTAGGCTATTATTGCCCCTAACCCATCTAAACCCTAACCCGTCTAACCCCCCTCATACCCTAAACCCTAAACCCTAAACCCTAAACCCTGGACAGACCTGCACAGGCCTGCTGGAAGGTGAAGAGACCATCAAAGACGGGGCAGTCTGTCGCCTCTCCTACATTAAAACTTTTTAATTGAAGTGCGAAATCTTTGTAGTTATCCGGGGAGACAGCAGAAAGAAAATTTATATATTCTTGTGAATGAAAGAGACACAACTCCGGCTCTATCGACTTGTGCGGTCGGTACACCTCCTGCAGCAGCAGCAGCAGCAGCAACAGCAACAGCAGCAACAGCAGCAACAGCAGCAGCAGCAGAGGTAAATTAATTAACAAGAGACATGAGAGGGAAAAGAACTCAAAAAAGATAATACAAATTATAAACCATTAAAACAACTATAAGCAATTAAGACAAGAATAAACAAATATAAGTTTATATATATATAATGCATGCGTTTATATATATACATTTATATATATATATATATATATAAACCAGCGCGAAGAGCAACAGAAACAATGTGAAATAAATAATAAAAGCACGAGAACAGAAGAGGATTAAAGAGTAAAACAAAAAGCACAAACAACAAAACAACAAAAAAGAATCAAGAGAAAAACAAATAAATAATATAAACCCTCATACACACAAACGAAACGGAGACGAGAACAACAGCTAAAACGAGAGGGAGAAGAAGAAGAACAGCAGCAACAAGTAATAATAATAATAATAAATAAAACAACAAATAAAACAGCAGCAGCAACAACAATGACGAGAATAAGAAGAATTAGAACAGCAAACAAAACAACAAATAAAACAACAAATAAAACAACAATAATAATAGTTAACAACAACATCGACAACAACAATAATAATAAAGACAATAATAATAAAGACAATAATAAACATAATAATAATAAAGAGAATAATAATAAACATAACAATAATAAAGATAATAATAAAGATAATAATAAATAATAATAATAATAAAAGATAACAATAATAATAAAAGATAATAATAATAATAAAGATAATAATAGTAATAATATAAATAGTGAGTGTGCTGACCATATGTTTATACAAATCGTATGAAAGGACTAAGGCGTGGGCCATCCGAATTCTCTGCGGCTTCATCGGATGTCCGGGCCCATAGTAAAAGGACCCGATATCGGGGTCATAGAAATAGGCGACTCTTTTTCTTACTCCGACTAGAGACATTTTATCTAAATAATATATATTATATATATCCTATTTAATATATTTAATATATTTATAATAGAATATATTTTATTATCTATTTATCTATGGATTTATGTGCTTATTTTATGTTTTTTCTTTTGTCTTGAGTAAATTGAATGTAAGGATGTCTCTATTGAAGAGCTTTGAATTGAACAGAGATAATAAAGCAAATATATATATATTAAATTCAACAAACCCCTTCCTCCTGCTTTTGCTGCTGTTGCTGCTGCTGTTGCTGTTGATGCTGCTGTTGATGTGCTGCTGCTGCTTCTACTGCTGCTGCTGTCCGATCTTAAACACCCTTTAATTCACAAGCAAACGGTGCAGCACCGATACCGCAAACATAAGCAACTCCCATACAAAGCACCAATGCAATATAACCCCTCGAATATGCAAGTGCTGCTGCTGTTGCTTCTGCTGCTGCTGTTGCCGTTGCTGCTGATGGGCTGCTGCTGCGATTTGCAGGAGGTGCTGCCACTCCCTCGCAGCAGCAGCAGCAGCACTAAAAACTCCTGCTGATGTTCCAGCTGAGTCGCTGCTGCTGCTGCTGCTGTTGCTGCTGCGCCGCAGCTGGCTGGCAAGAAAGAGGAAGCTGCTGCCCAGCAGCAGCAGCAGCAGCAGTAGCGGGGGGTTTGCTGCAATCACAGAGACACAAAACAACAACGACAGAAACCTGTCTGCACCACCTAAAGGAATTCAACTCTAGCGAAGAAGAAACCAAAAAAAGAAGTAGAGAACAAGTATAAGCAGCAAAGCGGCTGAAAGTGCCCAGCAGCAGCAGCAGCAGCAGCAGCAGCAGCAGCAGCAGGGCCCTCCCAGGCACAGTAGCCTCTACAAAAAAATCCTCGTTTTTCTTGCTTTTAAGCAAATTTAATTTATTTTAATTAAAATTTAAACAATTTTATCTTCTAATTAAAAACAAAATGAACAAAACGCAGCCCCAAACTCTGATCTCGTCTTTTCTCTACCCGTCCGGTGTATATACGTACACCGTAAGTGAGAGCTGTTTAGGGTTTTGTTAATTTCTTTTGTGAATATTGTTGCGTTAGAAGTATTATTTAAGTTTTAATTGTTTGATCTTTCCTTCCTGTTGTAAAGCCTCAACAAAACTGCACAATCTCTACTTAATTCTTCTGTCACTCTCAGATACATATAGAGTCCTCAATTATATATTATATAATAGAGGACTCTATATATATTATATAATATAATACCAACAGCACTCCCTGGGCTACAACAGAGCCCGAAGAGTTGACAATATAAACATCTGAAAGCAGCCTCACCTTCCCCTGCCCCTGCTGCAAGCTGTACAAGTATCTGGGGCTGATCTTCTTGCATGCTGTTCGAGCAAGAGACGGAGGAGAGCTGAGTAAAGAAAACTCGTTGAGATAATAATTCACATAAAGTATTTAGCCTCTCTTAACCTCTTCTACTGTCTCTAAACGGGATCAGAACATCGGCTTTAAAGGGTCTTATGAAGTTCGGGGCTATCGCAAACAACACAAACTCTGCTCTTTTAAACAGACAAAAAGAAAGCACAACTACAGCAATTCTTTATAGTGTTACTGCATGTAGGAATAAGAGTTGATGCGGTGCTTGCATAAGATTAACGAGCGTCTTACCCGCATGCACGGCTCCCCCAGCACTACTCCTCAGCCTCCTTGGCCTCTATGCTGTGCCCCGAACTTCGGGTGTCTGGGGAAGAGGAGGTCATCTGCTTATAGTGAAGTCTTATCTTAACGCTTTTGTCTTCAGTATAGACTATAATAGTCTCTTGATACACCTGGAAGCTCCGTATGCTTCATCTGGCCAGATGCATGCAGCAAGCCCTATCCCCATAGCAAGGAGGCTTGTTGCTGAACAGCGCGTAATACCGAAGCTGTATTAAAACAAACGAAAAGCAGATATTCTTGCCTGCCCTCTTAAACTCTTTTTCTAAAAATCATCAATCCCTTTCCCCTCGTGCAATATGGAGATTGGCCAGGATCTGTCTACCCTCTGATAGAAAGGCAACCACTGGTTGAGAGCTTCGCCGCGTTAACACCAATTCATTATCTGCATTCTATCAGACAGAAGCTGTATGTACAGCAGAAGCAATTCATGAAGACTTCCTCTACCTTTGTCGACCCTTCAGATATAACGGCCGCCGAGAGAGGGGAGACAGTGAAGAAATGAATACTTTGTTGCTCTCGTGTTGTATTTGCCTCTCCCAGATACACCCGAAGAGCTACATTTGCTACTCTCATCTTCTGCTACTCACCCCCACTTGCAAATACAGTTGAGCCCGGTGTCTTGCACGCACTAACACTGTAGGGTCTTTCTGAAAACT